CGCCATACGTGGCCTCCCATATGGCTCATGGGGATGTTTGGGCCTTTTCTGAGACTCACCTGTGTTCCAAAGAAGTTGGGTCTCTTAATGCCGGTTTGAAGTTTGCAGGTTCACCTTTTCAGCCTTTTCTTGGTGGATTCCCTGTCCCGAGTTCCAGGACCAATGCTGGTACGTGGAAAGGAGTTGGTGTGCTGTCCAAAACGCCTGTGAGACGTCTTCCGCATGATTGGCCGATTGAAGTTGCACAGTCGTCTCGGGCCTTAGCTTTCACGACTTTGCTTGATGATGTGCGGCTGACCGGCGGTGTTGTCTATGGAGAACCTGAAAGCCACCTATATGCAAATCGCCTCCAACATACAGAAGCTCTGCTAGAGTCGGTCATAGGGTCGGTCTGTTACCTTTCGTCTGGTCCGCGTTTCGTAGCGGGAGATTGGAATGTGCTGAACCATGAGCTGCCTGCGTTCCGCATGCTGGAGCAAGCAGGCTTCCGTGATCTGCAAGACCTTGCTTGTGATCGGTGGGCAATCCCTCCTCAAGCTACCTGTAAGCATCGCACTAGAAAGGACTACTGCTACATTTCGGCTGAATTGCAAGCTCTCCTTGTTGATGTCCAAATTGTGTGGGATGTTTGGCCGGACCATGCCATGTTACAAGGATCTTTTCGAAGATTGAAGCAATGCATTCCGCGTGACGTGTGGAGAATGCCCTCTGCTTTCCCTTGGCCAAATGAGTGGTGCGTACCTGCTGACTTGTGGGGTTCCCTTGAAGGCACTCCGACTGACAAATACTCTCAGCTTTGGCAACAGTTTGAACAGTCGGCAGAGCAAAAGTTGCCCTTTGTGCCTGGGCGCCATACGAAAGGCCGTGCTCAGACCAAGAGACTCTCCAAGGTGCATGTTGGGAAAATGCCCCCATGTGAAGCTTGCCAGGAATGGTGATTTTAACCCGCATTTTCATGGTGCATCCTTTAGGCATGCTCAGTGGGTTAGACAGACGCGTCGCCTCCAGTCTTATGTTCGGCATGTGCAAGTCCATGGATGTGATTCTGCCTTTGCGAGTGACGTGTGGGTCGCGATTGTTCGGGCTGCTGGATTTCATGGTGGTTTTGCTGCATGGTGGTTGGTCTGTCCGTCCAAAGTCTTTGGTGCTGACCGCTACTTGCCTTTGTCTCCGCCTAGTATTGAGTGTGCTCAGAAAATCTTTGAAACCATGGTCATTGAAGTACGATTGCTTGAAAACCAACTCAGGTCGTCCTCCAGGCAATATGCTCGGCTTCGACGTGCAAAGAACCCCAACTTGATTTTTAGCGATATCAAGGACCACCCCTCCAATGGAGTTGATTTCCTGTTGAGGCCGTTGAAAGCAGTTGTTGTTGATCTGGATGAGGAATCCAACGCTGTAGTGGTTGAGCCCCCACAGCCGTGGGTGACTACACGCCCGGTCTTCTGCAATGGTTCTGCATTGTCGGTCATTCATGCTGAAGATGACTGTCTGTATGTTGATTCCATCGAGGACATTAGGACTGGCATGGCAGTGTCTCAGCTTTTGTCCACTGGCTCTAAGGAGGAACTTGCCAGTTCTTTCCTTGATGCTTGGAAGCAACGTTGGGACAGACACAAGAATGTCCCTCCAGAGCGTTGGAATGTGATCCTTCAGTTTGCCCGTACTCATTTGCCGCGGCATCAGTTCCAATGGGATTCGTTGAACGTTGAGTCCTTGGGTCATGCCATTTCCAGACGTAAGCGTTGCTCTGCCTCTGGTTTGGATGGTGTGTCAGTGTTGGATCTCCAAAGTTTGCCTAGGTCTGCCTTAACTTCATTTTGCATGATGTTTGATGAGGCAGAGAGTACTGGTGTTTGGCCCGGCCAGCTCTTGGAAGGAAAGGTCTCCTGTCTTGCCAAAAATGATGCTCCGGCCGGGGTCATGGACTATCGGCCCATTACTGTTTTGGGTTTGCTGTACCGTATTTGGGGTTCCCATCATGCTAGACTTGGTATCCGTGCTCTTGATGGTATCCTCCCAGCTACCCTGTACGGTTCACGTCCTAGTCGATATGCAGGCCAGGTTTGGAGCCAGCTTTTGTGGGCGGTTGAAGATTCCATTGCTGCGGATGTTTCCCTATCGGGGATTTTTGCTGACATTCAGAAAGCTTTTAATTGTTTGCCACGGTTTGTCATCTTTGAAGTTGCGGCAATGGTCGGTATTCCCATGCGAATCTTGACTGCCTGGGCAGGTGCTCTGTCTGATATTGGTCGTCGTTTTCAGCTTGGCCCCAATTTGTCGAAAGCTGCTTACAGTGTGACTGGTTTGCCAGAAGGTGATGAGCTTTCATGCTTGGGCATGGTGTTGGTCGACATGTTGTTTCATGCCTGGCATTTGGCCTTTTTCCCTATGTGTCAGCCGGTGTCATATGTTGATGACTGGACCTTGATCACCACTGACCCGAACATCATGGTAGGTATGTTTCAGTGCCTGGATAGGTTCACGAAGGAACTTGATCTGCAACTTGACCTCAAAAAGACTTGTGCCTGGTCAGTCACTGCACAGGGAAGGAAGAAGCTCCGGGAACAAGGATTCACCTTGGTGTCCAGCTGCCGTTCGCTGGGAGCTCATGTGCAGTTATCCAGGAAACACACGAATGCAACCCAGATGGAGCGAGTCAGTAGTTTGCAGCCGATGTGGTCCAGGTTACGCCTCTCAGCCAGTGCCTACGAGCATAAAGTCCGGGCCATTCGTTCTGGTGCTTGGCCCCGCGGTTTGCATGCGATAACAGCGACTGCTGTGGCTTCCAGTACGTTCAAGTCGCTGCGCTCTGGTGCCATGAAGGGGCTTGGGGCCGAAGGATCGGGTTGTAATGCTTTCCTTCATTTGGGCCTTGTGGAGGTTCCTCACACCGATCCGCAATTTTGGTCAATCATTCAGACCTTTCGAATGGTGCGAGCTTGTGGAATTGAGGATGTCGTCCAATCGGTTCTTTGGGCCATGGTGCAGGGGCAATCCAACTTCGCCTCCAATGGCATCTCGGCTACGTTGCTGACACGGGTTCAAACTCTTGGCTGGCACGTCGATCGCATGATGTTTGTGGATGACTTTGGCTCCTTTTCTCTCTTTGATGTGGCAATTGATGACCTGGTGTGGCGGATGCAGTGGGCATGGCTGAAAGTTGTTGCTGCCAATGTTCAGCACAGACCTGGGTTGAAAGATTTGCACCTCATTGATCCAATAAAGACACGGCTGTGGCTCCAAAAACTGCCCCCTTGCGATCGGGCGTGCTTCAGGAAAATTTTGAATGGTGCTCATATCACTCAAGATGGGAAACATTATTGCCAGGAAAGTGAGGTTGATACATGCCCATATTGTTCCTGTAGTGATTCGCGTTTTCACAGGTTTTGGCAGTGTGATGCTTTCGCAGGATGCAGACACATGGTTGATCAGGACCTCTGGGATGCCCTTCCTTCATTGCCCGAGTGTGTGGTTGCCTATGGTTGGTCGCTTCGACCTTCAACCTTTGAAGACTGGTTTTCTTCACTGGCTGCGATTGATGTGGGTGTAGTACCTCCTGTGGCAGTTCGCCCTAGTGATGTTTTGCACTTGTTTACTGATGGTTCATGCTTTAATCCTCAGTACCCTGATGCGCGCTTTGCGGCTTGGGCGATTGTCGTGGCTGACCCGGGCCACTTTGATCGTTCTTTCATCCTCGACAGTGGTAGCTTACCGGGGATCAGACAGACATCCATGAGGGCGGAACTATTTGCTGTTTTCAGAGCGGTGAGATTTGCTGCCTTGCATCAAGTTAAAATCATGATTTGGTGTGATTGTCAAGCAGTGGTGACCAGACTCCGGAAACTTCTTGCTGGTGGAGTCCCACGCATCAATTCTCCCAACGCGGATTTGTGGCTGCGCATCTCCCATGATTTGGCTTTATTAGGTCCAGGGTATGTCGACATCACTAAAGTTGCTGCCCATCAATCTCTGCACAGTGCGAAAACAATTTTTGAGGAATGGTGTTTTCTCCATAACCGGTTCTCTGATCATGCTGCTCATCATGCTAACATGAGGCGCCCTCCGCAGTTTTGGGATTTGCTTGGTAGACATGTGACAGCTTGTAAATTGGTTGACAGATGGAACTCCTCCATTCAACAAGTGTTGCTCCAGATTAGTCTAGCAGTTTTGCGTGTAGATGCCCCCCGCCCTGCTGACGTTTCTGCAGACATTGCTCCAGACACTCCTAATTGTGTGCCTGTGTGGACTCCCTTGCCTCCCCTGGAATCGCTCCCATCCAAAGCGGTGCGTTGGTATGGGGATGGCATGGTGCGAAAGCTTGTGTCTTGGTTTTGGGACACGCTCCATGGCGCTGTTGGACCAGTTCAATGGGTTGCCATGTCTCAACTCTTCATTGATTTCACTAGTTCTACAGGTGAGGTCGGACCTCTCAAATTGCATAAGTGGTGTGATGGTTCTGATTTTCCACTGCAGGGATTGGTGTCGAGACCATTCCGACTTCGCGTTCGTTGGTTTGGGAAATTGCTGCGTGAGATTCTTCGCCATAGTGGTGCAGAGGTTTCTACTGGTTATGTGCGTCCTGCAAGCACAATGGTGGCCATGTTCTCCAGCTGCATTGCCATTCCCTGGCCTGTTGAACGTTTGAAGATGGTTGATGATTGGATCCTTTTGCACACAGATGCTCCATATTGTAGGCAGTCGAAATCAATTGACTTGCTGCCTGTTCCCCAGAGAAACAAAGGTTTTCCTGGCGTGGTTCTCACATCATGTGCATAGATTGGCACCTGTAAGAGGGTCGCCTTCGTGATCTAAGGCGACGCATTCCGGAAATGGGAGAAATGGTGGTTTGGAACATGAATTTTATTTTTCCATATATTTGGAATATTTTTTTCGCAACTGACGAAGTCATATTTTTCAGAGGGGTAGGTCAACCTCCCACCAGTTAGCGATGGGCACCCAGGGAGACGCCACGCCAGGGAGACCACAGCCATTGCGTCATGGTGATTCTGCACGTCGATGGACGGAAGCCCGAAGAAGTCAAGGCCGCTGGAGGATGAAGAACTTACCCTCTGGTTATAGATGGCCCATAGAAATAGATGGTTTACCTATTAAACATGGGGATTTTCCATGGCAAACTGTTAGTCATAACCAGATGGTAAAACAAAAACTGTGTTTTGCCAAACGATTGGTTGACTGCTACAGTGCTACCCATTGCTACCCTAGTTGCAAATCAAGGTATATAAAGAGATGGGAAAAAAAATGGAAAAAATGGCAGAACCAATATGATTTAGAGCAGCCCCTAAGAATATACCCTCTGGTTATTTAACATAGTCATGGGAAATGGCCCATTTATAGATGGCTTATGGTTTACCTATTAAAAATGGTGGATCTTTCCATGGCAAACTGTTAGTCATAACTAACCAGGTGGTGTACAAGTTGGACACCTGGAAACTCCTGGGGAAATCATCATTGATACTATTCTGTAAATACGTGTCGCTCTTTTTGGGAGCTACTATACCCTCCAGGAATCAAACGTGGCAACTGAAAATCCTCCATTTATAGATGGTTTTTCAGTTGACACCTCTAAAAACCTCCATTTATTACGGGAGTTCCCATTACTATGTTTGATTACCGGAGGGTATCTGAATAGTACATGTTTAATTTTGACTTGTAAATAGCACTGTAGTGTGATGTGGATTCCTCATGTCGCATCTTGCACCGATCAGCCAAGTGAAGAGTTGATGGCATCCTCACTTCAACCTGATGACACCCGCTTGTTCTGTATTTATATGTTGGGTTTGCTGAATGTATTGGCATAGTTTGTTACATTTGGATGTTTTTCGAGTTCAATGTTAATGCTAATAAACAGTAGTAAATGTACATGGAGGATTTAGGCACATGCAATTACCTAAAGATTTCGAACTCATTGCAATGATGACCCGCGAGGTACAAGACTTGCGCCGCAGCGATCACTATCCGCTGCCCCATTTGCGCCTGCAGCTGCACTGGGGTTCTTTGGCAGCCAGTTGAGCCGGGGTTGGCTGCGCGGGGGAGTTGGATGTTTTCCTATTGAATAGGTATATTAATACCATTGGTATATTATAGTATATTATATACTTTATACTATATATTATACTATGTATTATATAATCATCCTATTCCAATGAATTCCAATGAATTCCAATGTCTTTGGAGCAGTCCTACAGACGCATAGTATTGAAAACATGCTCCAGGTTTCTAAGATTCTGCACAGTATCCAGGTAGCACGGCGCAGGGTGCCTTGCTGAGTGTGGAAGATAAGGAGGGGAGAGGGAGTGGTGGAAGGGGCCCCCGTTTACTGCCAAGTTCCTTGAAAGATGTAGCTTAACTAAGGGCTATGGCAGATCTAAATCTGGTTATAATATATAATATAATTTTTATATATATAATATACAATATACACGTAGTTTGGGTTGTTTGGGTCCTATATTACAACTGGAGGGCTATGAAAACATGGATTCGAGGATTCGCTGGAATGCCACATGTCCCCCTTCTCCGGAAACATGGCAGTGCGTTTGTTGAAGGTTATGGAAATTGTTAGGCTGATGCTCCCCAATATTTTGCTTAAATTTTATAGTTTCTTCTTATGAAAAGGGGTTGCAACTAATGTTCAAAAATGGTATCTATTGGTGATTTTCCTGTCTCGTCTTATAATCATTATTATCATTATATTCTCCTACTTGAACTCGCTGTGTCCATGCCCATGCCAAGAGAAACTTACATATTTCATGATAGCCTCAGTGTGTGAACCACACTTTTTTAAAAACTCAAATCACAACTCAACCCTCTTTGTTCAAACTTCCCGTTCTAAACTAACTTTATGTTGGGTACTGCAACGCTTCATATAGTTCCCAAGTCCGTGCACATCCAATGTGCACAAAGCTGTTTGCTGCTTGGGTTGTGGCAGGAAGAACGAAGAGGTCAGAACAACTCCAAGCCCAACTCAACACATGTGGAGGTGTTGCCAGGGCTCGGGGCTCCGTTTTTCAACAGGGAGAAGGCCCGAATTTCAGGTTAGTGAATTAATGTGGGTAAAACAATTTCACAAACCATCCCCAATTTCACCATCAGGTGGCATAAACCATTCCCAAATAAGTGTGGCTTATGACATTTTTTTACCCACATTATTGCAATTTAGAAATTTGATTGAGAAAATCTACAGGACCCCTCTTTGATTTGATGTAAACATCCGATTTGACTGGTGCCAATTGGATATACATGGGAAAGTGCCCAAATGTTACACTAGTCGTCCCGGAGCGGGGTAAACAAATGGAGCATCGCAGGAACTGCCCAGAACACCACAATGGTTACATCACTGTCGACAGGAATCGGATTCGCCGGATTGAAGTCAACCGTTGTAGGAGGCTATGCCGAACGAGGAAAGTTCCAGGAAAGCACATCCAAAATACTCAGTGAACTCGTGCGGGCTGCGGGGAGTGTACTTCAAGCAGGAGATGGCAGCAAGGTCCATACCGCAGAAATGTCCAATTTTTCCGTTGCCTTTTTGGAGATGCAGGAGCTGATGTGGTCACTGATACTAGCAACGACCTTTCGTTTCTGACCCGCGCCTGTGCGGATGTGGGGTGGTAAAAAATGGGAGGCCAAGGAGCTACGAATTGAGTTTCAAGAAGAGGGCTTGGAAGACAAAGGCATGTCCATGAATCTGAACCACTAACAAGAGTATCAATTCATTCGAGGCACCCAGGAAAAAGAGCTTGTGGGTGTATATGCATTACAGTATCCTTTTTAATGATTTCCAGGTTTGGGGAGGGATTGTGTGCGGAAATACATCCCATGGCATATGTTATATGACCAACATTTGGCGCTTGTTTTGTGAAGTACCATCAGTAGTGATAGAAAATTACCTAGAACACTTTGGGCGTGATTTTCGAGCATATGACAGCTACATACAGCTACCATGGTTTGTCTTAAACTGGAGATGAAGCAACCTGGGGACGAAAGCACAAATTACAGTAATTGGGATACATTCTTACCATCGACGATACGAGCGGGATTTCCGCAGGTAAAGCAGCAAGCAACAACATCATCACTATTATCAACATCAGCATCATCATCACCAGCGACATGAACAATAAGAAAAGCAAGAAGACGCAGATTCATAAAGTTATCTATCCTTGGTCTGAAGGCGATGGAGAGAGAGAGAGAGAGAGAGAGAGAGGATAAGAATAATTGTAGGACCGGAGAGAAAGGAATAAGAATACTATAAATAATAAGAACAACGCAAACCATGAGAACGAGGCAGCACGAGAAAGAACAAGAAGACACAGAACAAAAACAATATAAACAATGAAGAAACCCACTAGAAGAAAAACACAACAGCACTAAACACATATGATAATGATAATCATTAGGATCATATAGAATCATAATCATCAGAATTTCGCAGGGTTTGGTAAATGTCCCATTTTGGGGATTTTGAACATCACTTTCAAGTATCTGTTGGAGATTATATCACATTACATCCCCAATATTTGGGTGATGTTCAATTAGGACATTTGAACATATTTTCAGGAGATGGTAATATATTATCCAACCCAATCCCTATATTTCCCAACCCAATATATATCCAAACACCAGTATAGTATATTCAATATATATCCAATATATCCAATATATACCAATATATACCCAATATATTTCAGGAAATTTTCCAATCACCTTTTCTCCATCGCCACCGACACGCCAGGTGAAGATCAGTAAGGCTGGCATCTCCATCATCGAAGAGTTACCACCGCCAGGTGAGGTGGTCCTCTAAGACGCCAGGTGGAAACGCCACGGAAAATCCGTCATGTTTAAGTCATTTAAAGCACACGCGAGTAGGATATGTTTCGGAAAATGATGTTTCAGAAAGGCATGTCTTGGCATGTGTTGGCCATTTTTTGAAAAGTTAATAATGATTGAATTGGCACTAAACTGTATCAAGGCAATATTTATCTAATTGGGTAAACCTCGGTTGGATAGCTAAGGTATAATTCTCCGCCATAGTTTCATAGTTTGGAATGGGGATATATGCCTACCCACCGTCAGATTTTTGTCTATGCAGAGTGTCCAAGATCAGCTATGTCAATTTAGCTTGTATTCCGCCATATCCATCGATGCATCCGTATCCTAGGTACATGTTGTGAACTATCCCAACTCATTCACTATCCAAAAACAATTCCTTCAAAAATAGAAAGATCACCCAACAACTCTTCATTCTCCGGATATACAGAAAGGAAAAACATATCGTCATATTCCTATATGTCTGGGTGATCTTTCTATTGTGTGCCAGTTGCAGCATTCCCCATGTTCTCGGACATTGGGATCGTGCGGAAGCGTCTGCAGGTGAACGCCGGCCACGGGAGTTGTTGTTCTGCAACTTGGAGCTGGTGACTCGGCAAGGAACGACTCGTTGATGGTAGTTGGTTGTTTTTTTCCAGTCGTTCATCCACCATTTTTTGGACATCTACAGTGCTGGGAAGATGTTCATTTTTTTAGGGGGCCCTTCAACAAATACAAGTCATTTGGTGTGAAGTTGGAGGGAATCCGCTGCGAGCCATGTAGCCTCTGTGTTTTGGAGTTCCTTCTGACAGTGCCCTGAACAGACATCGCACAAGCTAGGTATTTGCCCATAATGTCAAGTCTAAAGGTGACACGAAAACTTTGGGCCCGGCAGGGAGGTTTGTATACGTTTACTGTACTTCAGGCTAGGGCAAACTCCAAAAGATGCCGAAAAGTGCTTCCAGGATGGCATACTGTAGATGATAAATCAATGAGAATTATATATTAATCTTATATTTCCAGATGTCCCACGTGTTCAAAATCTATTTTGGGGTTGCAAGCGTTCCTTTGGGCAAAAGTTGGGGTGACAGTGTTCATCCATTGGACTGGTTTTTCTGAGGATGAGATAGGACAGTCCCAGCATGAAGGAAGAATTTACTCCGGTCTACAGGACACATCAGGACACAATTTCCAATTGATCTCCTGTAGTGTTCAACAAAAATGTCAAAATGTTCCAACATAAGCCGAATCGCAGCTGATTTGATGCCTCAGGTTCGTTTGGATTGGAAGAAGGACTACCAGGCAGCGTGCTGCCCAGCGTTGCCCGTTACGGTGGATGTGATGGATTCACATCAACCATGAGAGGGAAACCAGACATGTTCTCCCATGTTTGGGCTAAATCCTATATAAATTCCATGCTCATTGGCCGCTAATTTCTTTAGGTTGAGGTTCTGCACAAAATTATGGATGTTCATCATTTTTACTATTAAACTTATCACAAAACCGGCAGGGAACTGCACCATGTTGGAGGGGAGAAAAGTCGGTATGGGTTAGAACCCTGTGCCCGTGCCCTCAGTGAACTTGTTAGCTGTGAACTTGTTAGCTGGTATATCATGGTAAATCCCTTCAAGTATAGGATAGTATATGTTGACATCTAATATTTATACAATAGAGGTTACTCATTTTTGAACATGTTGATCCATACTGGTAGCCCAACCACCCAAAACACCGACTTTTCGGTTGCCATCTCCAGGATCAACAATTAAAACTGGCCATCTCGGGGGCTCAGGCTGGGTCACGATGGAGAGAGGTTGTTTCGCTTGTTTGGCTTTTGTTTTGTTGGTTGTAGTTTTTGTTTAAGGGTAAACAGTAAACATGTTTAAATTTGGCAATGGACAAATCGGTTGACATTTGAAAACCCAACCAAAACATACCTGAACGATTTTATGTTCAAGGAGCGAGCCAAATTGGCATTGCCATTCTTAGAGGAGGGCCAACGTTTGACCATGTTGATGATGAACACATTGTGCCTGAGCCTGGTAATAGTGACTGGCACATGTTTGGTCAGTCGGTTTGTTGAGAAATGCTTTGAACATGTTTGTTTTTTCCAGAGGAATGCTTATTGTATGTTATTTTTATGGTGGTGGATACCACGTAAGTATTATTAGTAGTATTTGTCTACCTTTTTCCATACTTTTTCCACAAAAGGAATGTTCTAGCTGGTGGTTTCAATGTTTCTATTAGCTTCCATCCTCACGAATGGAATCATGATCCCTAATCGTCACATGACCAGTTGGCGGCATTCCAACTGATTTTCTATGGCCAAGTGAGTGTAAATGAATTATTTTCTTGGCTGATTGAATTCACATGTTTTATGACAGTTTACTCACTTGCTGGTAGTTTTTTAAATCCAAGGTGTCGATGTTCAACCCCAGTTGATCTGTATGTAGTTTTTATTATGTGTTGGACATATTTAATTGTTACGCCACAATAGATCTCTTTCACAAAACCAAAGTACCTGGTTGCCAGGGGGAGCATGGTCGGAGGTATATGTTATACCAGATTGTTTTTAAGGGGGCTTGGTGCATATTTTGAGTAGGGGACAGTGATTGTTTATGATAGTTGAAGAAGTTAAGCTAGAACTATTGGGTTGAGTTTGCTGGAATCTATACAATTCTAAAATTTTCATAAAGATGTTGAATGTGGCCTGGCAGCGAGCAATAAGAATTTCCAGCCGGGGCAGAGGCGCATTTTAAAACATGAAAGCACGCTTCTGAAGACCTCAAACGTTAACCAGGGTCCTAGGAGATTCAAACCGGCGGAAATCATCCCTAGACCCCGCTTCCCCCCCAACTCAGCTTCTTCGGTTGCCCAACTCTTGAATTCCCTCATTGTTTTAAAACCTTTCTTATTACGTGTTCTATACAGCCACCATAAAACAACGGAGCGCTGACCCTGACACAACCACAGGTGGACTGCCAACTTCCGGGGCGCAGTGACGCACGGAGCGATCGCAAGAGCGACCACACCCTGGGAGGCGTCACCGGACAGGAGCCGCTTCAGGGAGGGATCATCCCGAAAAAACGTGACTGGTTGGAAGTTTCAGATTCCCATAGGATCCATGGTGCTGGTATATATGCTAACACTTGGGGTATATTGATGGTATATTGATGGTATATTGATGGTAAATGTTACCATATATAGCATACATGGATCCTATGGGAATCGAAATGAACTAACAAACATTGCGATAACTAGTGGGATTTAACTACCAGGAGGATCTCATACCTAATTTTGGTAGTACACTAATTTTGATTTAAAAAATTGAGTTTTACTTGGAGGATCATGCCACTTTAAGTGGATGCAAGTGATAAAGAACAACTTTTTTCCAGGCCACTGAAAGGGGGCATCACCAATACGCTGGTTGGGATGATCCGGGGATCATCCAGATCTATGGACTAATGGGAACCAATGGGAACTGGGAAAAAATGGATGTACCAGGTACCAAGGCCATGTTTTCTGTGGATATATTCATTACATATATAGATATATATATATATTATATCTATATTTATATATATTATATTATATATAATACATTTATATACATATATATATAGGCCTCACAGAGGCCTTATAAAGATATATAAAGATCAGTCCCTCAGAGTTTAGGTCTACCTGAAGTAGTCCCTGACTAGTGATTAGGAGCGGTTCGGAGCTATCCGTCTTCCCTGTTAAAGTCATAGGGAGCCACGGAGCTACGAAGGACCTGGCCGCGGAGCTCCAGGCCATGAACATCCATAAACTAAACGCCCAAACAGGGGGTTGATTATATTTACCCTCTGGTAAACTAACATCATTATGGCAAAGCACCATTTTAATGGGTAAATCACGGTAAATCAACTATATATATATATGTGTGTGTGGCAATTTTCAATAGCTATGTTGGTTTACCAGATGGTAAGTAAATCTTCAGTTAATTGTCATGATCAAGTCCCCTTTGCTGAGTGTTTGTTGCTTGACTAAAAAATCCCTATTCGTCCAAGTTCAAGAGTTTCCCCCCTTTCCATTGGAAACATGTTGGTTTATGCTCCCCTGATCTATTTGTAGATACCTCGCCCAAATCAACCAACTGAACCTATCATAAATATTCATAAATCAATATCAATAATATATCAAGTATCATTTAAATAACATAATTCAATCTAACTCAACTATATCAACATATATCAACATATCATATAAATCACCATGTGTTTATTGCTTACCCTCTGGTAATCAGCCACATACCTATAGAAAGATCCACCATTATGGACCATGCTTTTAATGGGAAAACTCACTATTTCGACTGGGCCATTTTTAATAGCTATTTCCCATAGGATCCATGTATGCTATATATGGTAACATTTACCATCAATATACCCCAAATGTTAGCATATATACCAGCACCATGGATCCTGTGGGTTTTGACATAACCAGAGGGTAACCATCCCCATATATTTCGTGTCAGAATCCTCCGTTCGCCACCAGGAGCTTCCAGCCGTGATCTTGGCGAACCGCGGCCAGGGCGACCGCGCCTTCCTCTCCTTGCAGATCAAGCGCTGCGTGCCTCAGATAGCTCTCCAACGTTGGTGGTTCTAAATCTGTATAGACTATATATATATAGTATAACTGTAGTACAACTATATTTTATGTTGTTGTAAACAAAGATATATATATAATATACATATGTAATATGTGTATTATATAATTAACTATAGTATGGTAATGAATATATGTATATTGCATAGTGATGAACAAAAACTCAATGGGTCTATAAACCAACAAACATAGCTGGGCGAAAGGCAGTTCCGACAGGAGACCCAGGTATCCCTTCTGTTTGTAGTATAAGTTTTTGATATGGTATATGTATATATATATATATACATAGTGAATATTCCCTTTAATATAGTTAATATACTCATATATATATATATATATAACATATATAGCTATATATCTTCCCCATCTGTGAAGCGGGATGTGGCATTCCCTATATGTTGATACACCATCCATGGAGATAGGGACAGCGCCCTCTGAGGTGTCCACCTCGGGCGATTACTTGTTACCCTTTGTGCCACTTGACCGCACCCCATTGGACCGGTGCTTGAACAGAAAGTGATGCTTTTAACGGAGGTCAACCACCAACAAACATGATGTTGGAACGATTTAGCTAGCAATATTTTCGGATTGATTGTTTCGGTATTTCTTGTATGCTAAGCATCAAAGACTGACACGGAGAAACAACCGATTTAGTGAAGTTAGCGATTGAAATATGGCTGAACGTTGGGCCACCATACCCAGCAACAAGACATTGGTGTACCATGGGGAAAAGTGGTGTGATAACCACCAAAAATTCATGGTTTAACCCGATTTAGCTCTTGAAATCTGGTTGAACCTTTGGGGAAGGATAGAGCGCAAAAATCACAGGTGCGCAGGTGCTCCAGTACCAAGACCGGTGCACCGAACTTGCAGATGCACCTGTTACCCTCTGGTAAACAAACAGTTTGCTATAGTTTGCTATTGAAAATGGCCATTTATAGTGGATTTATCCATTAAAAATGGTGATGTTTCATATATGTTATGTTAGTTTACCAGAGGGTATCCAAGCAGATTTGGCAGACACTTGCAGGCAGTTCTGCCATGCACACTTTAGGGAACAGCTCCAGTGGATTGCCCCTGAGCTCGGTGGGATGAGACCGCAGGAAGGAGAAGGAGAAGGAACTTGCGGCAAGGAGAGAACGTCAGTCGCAATCATGACGACTGAGTTCAACCAGGGGTTGGTAACTGTCCCATTTTGGATATATTGGACATCACCTTATAGTAGCCATTATAGACCATATACCTAATGGTTGGGTGATGTTCAATGGGGACATTTAATGACCCATGTCAACATTGCCAAAGTGGATGAAATCATCAAGAAGTTGGAAGTAGCACCACAGCTCGATGAACAAATGAAACATATGGAAGAGGCAATTTCCAACTGTTCATTCGCTGAAAAGCGCCGAGTATTTGGTGAACGCCTGACAAAAAAACTGGTCGACTCATTGACGGCCGCAAAAGGAGAAGGCGATCCTCTGTCTCAGGAAGAGGCAGTCAAACGCGTACGCGTTTTGAAAGCGCACAAACAAGCTGCTCAAGCCACAGGAGGCAAAGTTCCTTTGGGAGCCAAGACAGCAATCCTGAAAAACCTGATTGGCGGAGGGATTTGCGCGACATGTTGGATTTGCGGCTGCCGATTTGCAAGTGAATGGGTCCATGCCTTGGGGATGTTTCGGGAACATGTTCTGTCGAGATTTCCCAATGTGGCTGCCACTGCCACGAAAGAATTACAGTAGAATCATAATGAATTATATAGAATTATAGTGTTTCGTGTTCGGGGGATCTTTGAAAGGTTTGTCTCGGATGTGTGACTGTTTTTTCATGACGGCATGGTTTTGGAGAATTTTGGCTTGATTGAAGGAGGGCATCAATGAGATTCTTCAGGAAAAGACGTTTTCCTGCTTTTGTTTGGCTTTGACATTCCAGACAAACCAAACGGGCTTATCAGGCATGCCTTGGAAAAGGGCAGTCCCATCCGAGCTCCAAAATGAGTAGACCCCAATGACCCAACACCAAGCCAGAGGTTCCGTGGTGCTTAATCTTGTGAGAAGGTTGACTTCAGATGTTTTTTTAACCAAAAATGGAGTGTATATGCATGTATATATATATATTATCCGCGTAAAAATCAGAATATGAGAGTCGTCATCACAGGTAGGTGCTCCCCAATGATAAATTGCTTAATGATCCCATTTGATCTTAACTATCTCCAGAAATCCAATCGTTAGCCTGTTTAAAGACTCTCACAGCGACCTAGTCAACCCCTTTTTTGATCATGCTGGTTGATTCATACAATGTGAGGCCCCCTAGATAGTTAAGTTGGTGAACATAACTCCAATAACTATGGTTTATGGTACTTGTAACGAACTAGTTACTGGGGTGAATCTAAAGCAACAAACATCACTGGGGGGCACCGCATTGTAGCATTTTTTCGTAAAAGGGCTGTGTGTTGGTGAAATCATCCTGGATAATCCTGGTCAATCATGGATGATCATGATAGTTTTTGTTTTTCAGTTTTTTTTTTCATAACCCTTGTCAATGGGAGATCTCCAGGATCCATTTTAACGGAGGTACTGTACCATATTTTTGGCCATATTTTGGGGGAATATCCCCTGAAATTTAGCCCTGAAAAATAGGCCTTATATATGGTAGGTACCTCCATTTTAGGATCCTGAAATTCCCATTGACCTTGTTCAGAAGTCCGTGATATAGGTGGGTGATCCCATTCTTGTGTGTGTGTTACAACCGCCTCAAACACCAACCACTTACTAGGATGTGCATCCCACTGTGGTTTATAACCCATACATCCACCATTTTTTGAGGAGGGATATCATGAGATGTGTCACATAATATACACATATCCATATCATATATACGGATTATATATGTATATATGATTGCCAATTAGCTAAATATCATGCTATATATGTAATATATATATATATATGTATACACACAATATACATGTAACATATATATATATATAATATCTATATTTTTATACATAAATAAATATATTATGTATAGATTATAGCTAATGAACTATATATATCTTCTATTTAAAAGCTACAGGAACATGGCCATGGATTCCGTGGATCTGACCTTGGATGATGGATGGCTGGATCCCTTGCAGGCGTCCTCCGCCCGGTGGTCGGAAAACGGTGACATCCCCAAGGCATCTGGAAAATCACTGGAAAAAATCATGGTTTAATATGGTTTAATGGTGATAAATGGTGAATAATAGATGGTTTAATGGTGATTAATATGGTTTAATGGTTCAAAATGTGGTTTAACATGGTTTAATGGTGATGAATGGTGAGTAATCATGGTGATTAATGATAAATTACCTGGTTGGTGGTTTGGAACATGACTTTTATGACTTTCCATAATATATGGAATGTCATCATCCCAACTGACTTTCATATTTTTCAGAGGGGTTGAAACCACCAACCAGCTACAAATAGATCCAAATAGGTGGTATAGGTTGCATTCACCCAAATCGTAGTTGCTTTTTGTTTGGGTTGCCCACATGATATGGTTATGGAGCAAAATCGTTTTTTGTTTTTTAGTATGTATATATATATATAAGCCTACTTTTTCACAGCATGAACATGATCTATAAATCCTTGCTATTTTGCTGTGAGCAAAAGGGTGTCGGTTTTTTGACTCATACCATACCCATACGTCTCTATGGTTCATTTTTGCAAGGACTATCTATAGATATCCATGAATTGTCATTTCAACAGCAACAAACATACATATTACATCTTACATCATACAATATGAATTGGCCAATTAATGGAAAGTTGTTGCCCCCTTTTTTTTTAGGAAGAGGAACCTTTTTTTTTTCGAAGAACCATGGTCTTGGGAGCAGGTTCTGGCCCACAACTTGGGGGGTCAGCCTTTTATTCACCCCAGAAGTGGGTTGTCTTCACCGTATAGGTATAAACCATTCCCAGTCGGATGTCAGATGTCAGTATATAGTATGGTAAGATTTATCTGCTTGGTGGTTTGGAACATGAATTTTATGACGTTCCATTCAGTTGGGAATGTCATAATCCTAACTGACAAACTCCATCATTTTTCAGTTGAAACCAGCAACCAGTTATTGTTGATGCGATTCTTGGGGCATATCCCTAAAAGATTGAACATAGCTGTTCCAGGTTTCCAATCAGGATAGCTCAGCATGGCTGCTGAGTTGAGTTATAAGTTGGTTGGTTTATAAACCCCATTGACTAGTTCGTTATATCTACCATAAACCATAGTTATTGGAGTTATGTTATGTTCACCAACTTAGCGTTCACGAACTGGGGCACCACCTTGTAGATATATCGAACTAGTTAGAAGAAACGTAAACCACCAAACCTTTCACTGAAGCGTGTGCCTTCCTGCAGCAACCTTTGGCTTAGAGAAACACAATTTGCTGTCTGTGATTTGTCAGATATAACCAAGTCATATACCCTGAATTCCACCAGTTCATCATCAGCTTCCTCATTCAATTGCCATGATTGGGGGTATCCCCTTTTCAGAGACACCCGATGCAGGCTAAACGAATGTCATGTCCCATTGCCACTTAAAATCAATAATAACGTGACCATATATTCCAGCATCTCCTGGCTAATTGGCTAAATATGCGCATCAATTCGCATGTGGGTATGGGTCAAACAAATGAGATGCCTTCAGAAATTCGAGAGATAATAGTGTGGTATTAGTGGTATTCAGCCAATGCCATTTGCACCATCCCCAACTCATGACCATTTCTGTTGGATTTGTACCATCCCCAACTGGGAGTTGTTTATGGCAGGTGATCTTGTGGGGGCATTGTTCTACTCCCAACAAAAACACATCCTGAAGAACAGAACCCCCAAATATATTGAAATACGTGGTGGCTCCCACTTACTCAGTAGCTTAGTTCACCCTAGTCATATATAATATTGTTAGAAACCCAAGTCACAACTATTTTGGGATATGAATACTATAGGTTAAAACAGTAATACTCTATTCCCAAATCACCATTTTTGTAGGTGGTATGTTTACCATTCCCAGTCATGGGTGGTTTATGGCAGTGTTCAAACCACATTAACCCTCTGGTAAACTAACAGAAGTATGGAAAATCACAATTTTTGATAGGTGAATCAACTATAAATGACAATTTTCTATAGCTAGTTTAGTTAAATCCAATAAAAATAACAAGTTATAACTTATGACTCTGATTTATGGCATTGTTTTAACCACATTATATTCATATTCCCATGTCTATACCATGGTTAGTCATCAACTATATCATATCCCCTATCCATATCCCATTCATATACCATTAATGTTCCATGAAAACCATTAGTATACCATTAACCTACTTCAACTGCAAGTACCCTCTGGTTTAACATAGCCATGGAACATGGCCCATAGAAATAGATGGTTTACCGAACTTAAAAATGGTGGATCTTTCCATGGCGAACTGTTAAATAACCAGATGGTAATAATGGTTAATATGGAAAATCACCATCTTTAATAGGAAAATCAACTATAAATGGGCCATGTTCAATAGCTATGTTAAATTATCAGAGGGTAATCCACCAAAATCTCTCCTGGTGCCGCACAGGTCTGGGCCGCACAGCTCTCCACTGGTGCCTCTGCAGGGCGTTCCATGCAACGCTTCCAGTGCTTGGCCGAGACCGCTGGGAAGCCGGTGCTGGAAGGCAGGGGAGCTGGGCGTTGCTGGGGATGACGGGAAAATGGGGGAAAACTTGGGGGAACTCATGGAACAAGTTGGGAAAAGTGTTGAAAATCATGGAAGAACATGATAGTTGTGGAAAAGTTGGGAAAATGAAGAAACATTCAGGAAAGTGATGGCAATCGGACAATCTGAATTTGGGGCATTGATGTTGAGGACCCCTGGAATCCCAAATAATGGTGGACAACAGTTTTTTTTGGGGAGAGGGAATGATAGTATATTGAGGATCCAAGATTGGAAATTCATTGTGGGAAGCCTGTCAAATGTGAAACACTCCTCCATGAATCATCAGGGAGCACGGTGACAATTTTGCTCTGATTTCGGCATTCCTCACACTTTTTTGGGAAGATCATTCAGACAATCAGCTTGAGTACAAGGTGGCACCCCCGCAGTGATGTTTGTTGGTTTATGAAGTTTATGATCCCCATTAACTATAGATATAACCCCCATAAAACCCAGTTATTGGACTTATAAACCAACTTATCTAACTATGGGGCACCACCTTGTAGATGAATTTGATTCATGTGATGGTCACAGATGGCTGGCTTCACCCAAGTTCTTTGAACATGTTTTTTCGGGAAGATCTCTTAAGGTTCTGCTTTAACGGCGTGGGACCTGCGGGTGGCACGAGCTGTTTTTGGAGTGACGTCACTTTTTCATGGTGGTGGTTTTTCGCCTCGTGGCGACATGGAATTCCCCTGACACTTTAGTGAAATATCAGACTTCACACCAAGACTCTGACCAGACATTGCTCATATTTGCTCAATCGCATCTCATAGCTCAAACGTGCGTGATTCAACCTTTCAGGTTATACGCCACCACCTCTACCTGCCGTGATTCAAGTGGACAACTTCTTCATCTCCAAGGCGACGTTTCAGGACGCTGATGACCTACGGGGATCAGTATGAGGTCAGTGTTACAGTCCAAGTCAGCCAATCATGGTTTAATGATGGCTGTAATTAATGATAAATGGTGAGTAATATATGGTTGAATGGTGATTCACGGTGAGTAATCATGGTGATTAATGATAAATTAACTGGTTGGTGGTTTAGAACATGGCTTTTATGACTTTCCCATCATCTTGGGAATGTCATAATCCCAACTGACGAACTCCATCATTTTTCAGAGGGGTAGGTATACCACCAACCAGTTGGCATTTGTGTACCTCGCCTGAGGGTTTCTAGGCAGATCCGCACGTTTCTCACCCTCTTCCGATGCATGGTCCAAAAACTCAATTTTGTCCATAGAAGAGTAAAAGGGCCTTCCTGCGGCATTCCCCAATCCATTGAAGATACCCTTTGGCAATTTAACATAGCTATGGAAAATCACCATTAATAGGTAAATGTTCACTATTTCCATGGGCCATGTTCCAGTTCGCAAAGTGTAGAAATAGTGAAAATCCCATAGTGAATCATGTTCATCACTTATAATTGTAGAAATAAGTATCGTAGAATGAGTATTGTAGAATGGTATTTCACCATAGAAAATCTATGTGTTTCCCACCATTTGGTGATGAATTTCCAATTCTTTGCAGGTGGAACTCACCGTTTGGTGCGCCTTGAAGCTGCGCACCGTGCGCTTCCTTCCGCAGTGGATCCGAACGGTGCGCCATGGGCGCCAGGGGTTATGGCTGAATTACAGGGTGCGTTCCCCTCTTTGAATAGCTTTTCTCTGAAATCATAGGAACTATATATAAACCTTCTAGGGGCTATATAATTATATAATATAAATTTGAAGGATCTATGTATAAATGACCATTTATTAGTTATAACTGGTGATTTCTATGGCATAGATTCTATGTGATTATACATTCTACAAATGGTGCTTTAAATACTTATAACATCTTATAACTGGTAAAGGGCCATGTGATTGCAAAAAAACGGAATATGATCAGAAGAAAAGGACAAAAAGACACTGAATCTGAGTTGGATGATGACATTGCACGACATTGCTGTTTCTTTGCTTGGTGCTTTCACTAGCCATTCCTAGCCAACCAGAATATGGGCCAGCGTGTAAGTTCAGCGTATTCACCCAAAAGTCATTGGAATGGACGGGTCTTTCTGACACATAGCAGTTGTTTTAGGCTAATCCGTCGGACATTTAAAGGGTGTTTTTACTGAGTTTTACTGCCGTTGATCGAGCGGGAACCCAATGGAGGTCCTTGTCGCGTTTTGGCATGTCTTGTCAGTGTAACGGTTGCCATGACAGTGAAATTTCAGGACCCTAAGGAGATATTGTACCATATAAGGCCATATGTTTTGGGCATATCTCCAATACATAGGCCTGAAATTTAGGTAATTGAAATGGCCATTGAAGATAAAGTGAAGGATAACAACGTTGAGATACAATGGAAGGGAACACAAGTCAGATATGTCAAGATACTTTAAGATATGTTTAGATACTTTATATGATTGTATGCATATATATATAACAACAATAGCAATATTAATCATAATAATCATAATAAAAAATATTAATAGTAAGAATCGTAAAACATATATAGATTTATGTTGACTATATATATACCAATAGAATTACTATATTAACATTGCATAACTATATTAACCATATTTAACTATCATAGCTGACATCTCTGCGCAGGCCATTGGCATGTTATCCTTAAGTGGCGAGTTGACCTTGGATGGTGTGGAGCTGAAACTGCCGGCCTCCTGGCAGCGGTCCTACGAAACCCTTCCCCCATCTTCCCCCTAATAAACACCGACCACATGGGCCCAATGATGTGGAAATTCCCAAAACAAAATCATGGTTTCGAACTAAGGAGGTGTTTTTCATATTAGGGGGATGGGATTACATTTTCTTTGGGTATACATAATAGTATTTTATGGTATAGTGTTAATACTATGAATAGTGTTACTACACTAGTGTTTTATGTATATCAATAATTTCATGACCTACTAATTTTCACTACATAATGATGACCCACGTATTTCAAGTAACAATATTCATAGTATTTCAATGTATTTCATTGTTTTCATAGTAACAATAGTAATGATATAGTATTTTATAATTTCGTAGCAACAATAATAATGAATCAATAGTCAGTTATAATATGTGGGAGTGTAACTACCCAGTTATATCCTAATAATCCTTTACATATTGGAGATTATATTTCATGAAATTTGAACGAATTCTATAATGACCTCACTCTGTGACGTCACTGGAATGATCGTTTTTTCATTAAAAAAGGGGAATCGGAATCATCCGCAAATGGCCGTGTGATAACAGCTGTTTTCAGGGTAGTGAATTCCTACACTTTAGCCAGATATATTGGGGATTATCATAGTCCATGACATGGGATACCCCGTTGACCAAACACAAACAGTATCTTTTGGTACAACATTTCGGGCTTGGAAGACTGTTCACATCACTTATGTTGAGGACTTCGCTGGCCAAAACTATGGATTTAGGGAAGAGTTATGCTTGGGTCATTCTTGAACACAGCAAGATATAGTACCCTCTGGTGAACTAACATAGCAATGGAAAATCACCATTTTTAATGGGAAAATCCACTATAAATGGCCATTTTCAATTGCTATGTTAGTTCACCAGAGGGTATATCACTGGATAGAAAGCGGTTTGCAAACCCTGATAGCTTGTCTTGTCTTGCGGAAGCTGGTAATGATATTGTTCTCTTAGATGTATGATGTTCTAACCCAGACACTACCCATCGATCATACCTTCTGGTCCAATCATCCTACCTGGCAATTGGCAATTATCTATGGTTTGCCATTTGCTCTTTGGCAATTTGGATTATCACCCTTTTTCTAACAGGTAAATCTTCTATGACTGGGCAATCTTTATCCATTTTCCAGATAGCAAACTGTTGGTTTGCCAGAGGGTATATTTCATGATTTTCCTATCAACAGAAGTTGGATAAAGATTGAAAATCAGATTTTAATAATTTTATATGGCTATATAAATCCAAGATGTTCCTATGATATTTTTCTTTTTCCATAGCCATCACTGGACTCCCAGAGGGTTTTCTCTTCGCAGTGAACTGAGGAACAGAAACTGCAACGCCATCGCGGGTCCCTTACGGATTTTCTGAGGAACCTGGGCAGTATGTGCCTTGGCCATCCCGGGCAGTTCATCTGAGACGGCGCGGTTTTTTGGGCTGGGCCCCTTGGGCCCCTGGAAAAAATCTGGGATCGTTCAAGGAGATGTGGCAATTTTCTGGCATGTTTTTGAAGTTGTTTCTTGGAAATTGGAAGAAAACAATGGAAGCCACTGCTTCAGGATCTATACCACAAAGAAATCGATTGTAGTTGAAGAATACAACTATAGGGGTTATTAGAGGAACCCTAGTATTTGATGGTATACCCAGGGTTTATTGGTTTACTATGCATGTTCTTAATCGATCCATGGATTGTCACTCTCATGCCCGGCAGATCACCCAGGAATTACCAACCAACACATCCATCGCGAGGGACATCTTTCTGAATAGAACAAATATCACCCCATTTCAGAATGAAGAACATTTCCCAGTTTCCCGAATCATTTTCCAACATCTCAACATTTCTCAACCCATTTTTTTTTAAGATTTAACCCTACAGCTCCAAACACTTTCTAAGATTGGATTTGGAGTTGTTTTGTTGGGGTCTAAACACCTTCGAATTAAGGGTATTTGGAGCACTAAGGGTAAAATCCAATCAACGCTTAGCCATGTGCATCTCCTAGGTACGCCGTGAATCTCCTGACGCATGCCGCGGGCTTGCTGGGAAAGAGCTCTGCCCCTCGGCTCCCCGAAACTATGGAGGTTTACAGCTGCAGTTTAATGATCAAACTATAATCATGGTTTAATAATGGCTGTAATTAATGATAAATGGTGAGAGATATATATGGTTTAATGGTGATTAATATGGTTTAATGGTTCAAAATGTGGTTTAATATGGTTTAATGGTGATTAATGGTGAGTAATCATGGTGATTAATGATAAATTATCTGGTTGGTGGTTTGGAACATGGCTTTTATGACTTTCCATTGATTGGGAAAAGGTTGAACAACTGACTCATATTTTTTCAGAAGGGTAGGTCAACCACCAACCAGTAATAAATTGGTGATTTTCTTTAGAAAACACCGCTTTTTTAAAGGGTAAAACAAATCCAATGCTTTTTAGACGATAACTTTCCCCATTTGTTTCCAGATGGCTAACAAGTCGGGTGTATGGGTGTATATGCTATTTCTGCCTGTTTCTGGGCAAAACCAGGTCTTGTTGGCGTTCGTCCCGAGGTTTGTTTGTCATTTGTCAAGAGCCTTGATGTTTGCTGCATCGCAGTTTGTTTCTTGAAAACCCAATAGTTATTCCACTGCAGTATGTTGGTGTATGTTCAGCCTTAATAAAAATCCTCTTGACGTTGCAAAGCGATCTAAGTTCAAAGTCCTGAGCAACATCCCCAGCCGATCCAGCCGATCGTTTCTTCCCATCCAGGTCCTGAACTTGCCGCGGGTTCCCTGGCGCATCGGCATGACGGCGTTCAGCTACGTCTCGGACTCCGTGGGTCTCCTCTCTGGTGAGGCCCCCTGCGGGCCTGCGGGCTGGGCTGGGCCCCTGCTTTCCGGGCTTCCTGCGGGGCCTGTTCTTGCTATCATAAAAATCCATCAAACAAATAACAGTACAAACACTGTACAAACATTAAAGCCAAGAGATAAAACGTGTACTAAACATGATGAACTATGATAGACAATGATTAAACACATGATAAAACAAATGATTAAAACATGTTGATACACATACGAATTGTACGGCCAGTGTAAAAAAATACGAACAACAAGTAACACCACACAAAAATAAGTATATATAGAGAACATCAACACACAAACATTATACAAAACAAAGTGGCTAGAACGTAGATACATGCAAATCTGGTTAAGGATTGGACAATCGTGATCAAATGTGTGGTTATAAAAGGAGTGGTTCGTACTTAAGCTTCGAGACAGCGCGCGTGGTTAGGAAACGATCTCTCTCTCTCTCTCTATAGTAAGTTGTTACTGTAATTTCTGATATTTGTATATATATTTGTGATATTGTAATCAACGGGCTTTAGCTCGGGTTCGCATCATAAGCATGTAACATTTGGGGAACAAAGTGCCTTATATAATTACAATGATACCTCAGGTGACCGATGATATTTTCGACCAACTCATGGGAAGATTATGCCGGGAATGGTGCCATCGGGCTCTAGCGGTGTTTTTTGCGCATGTGGTAAACCCAATGCCACTGAAAGCCATTGGAATAGGGATTTATATACAAAAAACAATCATTATACTAATGCTTATTAATGGTTACGAATGGTTGCTAATGGTTATTAATGATTTCCAATGGTTAATGTGGTAAACCCAAAACATAATTGAACTATTCCCAACTCCCCATGACTGGGATGATGCCCTCATCATTCTAGATCTTTCCTCAAGGATCCCAGGCCCTAATATCCATGATGATGCCAATCCCAGAGATGCTCCCTGCATGCTCCATATATATATAATTATATATATATATATACTATACATATCCCATGAAATACATGGGTTTGTTTAAGGTGATTTTTTATTTTCCCAATGGAACATCCACCATTTGGGGAATCTACAGTTGATATGTTTTATTTTTTGGGAACCCCTTAAGCAAATCCATGAAATACCCTGTTCGTGGTTAAATGAAAAGCCCACCTGAAGGCTACCGAGGGGGGTAGGTATCATCAATTTTAAAATGCCGATTGTACACTAACTACAAATCATGAGATGGTTATATCACAATTTTCCCTCTGCCAATCCCACATTTTCCAAGTAATCCCATGTTCCCTGCTCCTCGTTCCAACACCATGTTGTTGGTTATATATTATGTTCCATGCTATATCCCACTACATCCCAAATATTCCCAATGTAGATCTCAGTAAAAACCGATCTAATCATTTGGGTCTCAGTTGAGATCCCAAGTATATCCCATTGAGATACCCATTGAAATTCCAATCATAATTCGAAAGTTGGGAAAAGTCCCAGACAACCTTGGGAATCTTTGTTGGGGAACATTCAATGGCCATGCAACAGGAACCGAGAACAATTGGAGGTAGCTACCACAATATAAGGCCTATTTTTCAGGGCTATGTTTCATGGAATATCCCCAGAAAATATTGCCATAAATATGGTACGTTTACGTACCTCCATTAAAATGGATCCTGGAGATCTCCCATTGAAACATGTGACTATTTTTGCAAAGGGGGTTCCGACAAGAACATGCAAGGGTCGAAAAACACATGAATTCAGGATTCATAAACCACCAGCTGGCCCACTTTCAGAACAGTGTTAGCAAAATTACCTCACTGTGTATCCTGTTGGTTGTCCCATTTTGGTTATGATCACAGTTGTGGTCCAAAATACCAGCAGTGTTTACAAAACCCCATTTATAGAGGTGTATAATCCCAGAAATAACAAGTTATAACTAATAGTGGTTCGTGGTATGGAACATGATTTTTGTTTTTCCATATATTGGGAATAATCATCCCAACTGACTTTCATATTTTTCAGAGGGGTAGGTCAACCACCAACCAGTTATAGTAACCCCCAAAAAAGATCGAAACATGAATCTTCACCAATTCAAAGGGGAATTTGGCTTTTCTTTTTTTTGGGGGATGAGAAATAACAAGTTACAACTAATCAATTGCCATAACTGCACCAGGTCCCACCGGATCTGTAGAGGCTTCCTCCTTGATCAACGCCATTGCCTTCGACGACGACTATGTGGCGCGGCAGCGGCAGATTCGCAACGCCAAGCAGATCGAGACGCTCGGAGCTTGGGCCACTTGGGAAATGGGAAATCCACCATGACTGGGGAATCTATAACTAGAAAAACCCTCTGGTTATTTAACATAGCTATGGAAAATGACCCATAGATATGGTTGATAACTATAACTATATAACCTGGTTGGTGGCTTGGAACATTTGGATGATTTTCCATTTCATATATGGGATGTCATCCGAAACCCATTGACGAACTCCATCATTTTTCAGAGGGGTAGGTCAACCACCAACCAACTTGAAATGACAGTTTATAGGTGGGAAAATCATGGAACATCAACTATCTTGGATTTGCTGAGTGATTTTGGATGTTCCCCACGGGAAATCCACTACTTGGGGACTTTAGGTAAGATTTGTTTGGGTGTTCTTTAAGCAAATCAATTCTGGAAGATAGATTCTTAGATTCATAATAAGTGATTTCAATGGGATTGAACCGTGTCTTTTTTGGGTTTGATCTGGCTTTATGACGAGGTTTTAACGTGTTTTAACTATCGCGGAAGTCGCCAAATATGGTTGAAGAGGAAAAACACTACCAGCAAGGGGGAGTTAGTCAATGGGTTTCATATAATGGGGTTACTTGGTAGGGACGATCTCTGCTTGCAGGATAATCCCGCTTCATAGCTGGCTGGGTTATGTGGGGTGATGTGGGGTTAAAACAATGACAACTCAGTTATAAATGGGATAAGCCAGGAATTTGAAACTTGCGAACCAGGGATTTTTTCACCACGTGCGAAATGATTCCTAAGAAGGATGATCCATGATGATCCTCCACGCCTAGCGAGCGGCGGACATGGCGGGTGTGAAGACGCGGTTCCTGGTGGCCAGTAAGACGCAGACAAAATATCTCTGGCACGAAGAGACCTTTCTGGAAACAACAGATCTACATCGAGATCTTCGCTGGCACAGCCAGACTCACAGCTTGTTTGCAGACTCGTTGCTTTCGTATGGAGCACGAAGTTTTTTACAAGGTGGAAAATCCTGGTGAGCACGGGGTCTTTACAATATTTTGCAATCTGCTTGTCATGGTTTCTTTTTGAGACTGAGCGTTTCAAGTCGTATTTCCATCATTACACGTTGGGCAGCTCACGTCGCAAATACACCCCTCTAGTGCACAGCATCCCAACATTGGTCGCCATGAATGTTGAGTGTAACGGTCAACACTCCCACAAGCCGTGGGGTCAGACCGGCTCTGGCTGGGCCAGCAGAAGAGACAAATTTAGGTTGTTAGGTCACTGGTTGGTGGTTTCAAACATTTTTTTATTTTTCATTTCATATATGGGATGTCATCCTTCCCATTGACTTTCATATGTTTCAAGATTGTTAAAAACCACCAACCGGCTACTATACTTCATACTTCTAACTTATAAACCAAATCTGGTTTGTGGTTTGGAACATCTCATATTTTCCATATATTAGGACCGTTAGGTCATGTTGGGTGATGGTTCATCTTGAAGAAATTTCTCCATGTTCTCAATCACTGGGGCCCGGGGTGGCGCAGCCCAGGAACATCCATGATGGTGTCGTCGAGGCGGCGGCCGTGAAGAAAATGGTGATTTCATGTGATTTCAATAGGGAAATCAAGCCCATGTCATGGGAGTTTAGATGAGTTTCACCAACACCAAACCCTAAAAGTATCTAAAGTCCAATAAATAGTTTCCCGATGTTTCCTGGAAAAAAAACGGCATGAAACGGGTGATTGACGACCCCCAGGTGGTTTCCATTGTGGGAACGTTGCGTGGCTTCGTTTCAGGCGGGCAAATCGCTGGTGGACGGACTGGAAGGACTCACGGACGTCTTCACGCAGCCCATCGAGGGCGCCAAACAGGATGGCTTCGGAGGTGCCGATTTCACGGGATTTTTCATGGGTTAGTACGGTTAGTATGGGTGATTTTCAGATGTGAAAAATGGATGACATATGATGTTCATCATTATGGATGGTTACCAATTATTAATCAATATTTAATTCATATTTTTCATAATTTTTATGGATTAAATTATGATTAATGGATGGTTTATGGATGGGATATAACCCAGAGGATCCATGTATGGAATATTTACCTACATTGACCCCTAAAGTAATTTAAAATAATCCCAATGTAGGTAAATATTCCATACATGGATCCTTAGGGTAAGAATCAATAATGGGGATTCCAATCGATTTCTCCTTCTGGTCATCAAACGTGGCTGGAAGAATCCCTCCCTTGGGGTTGACGTAATCTCTCACATCATTTTACAACCCCTTCTAACTTCTAACTAGTTTGATATATCTACAATAACCCCAAAACTTAACCTACTTATAAATCAACAGACTTAGATATCATCAATCAACTATATATCAATTCTATATCAACACTAAACATTTTACACATCAAAACCACCCTGTTTCTGGTGTTTCAAACGCAATGAAGTGACGTGGCATTTCTGCCTGTTTCCAGGCTTCGTGCGCGGAGTGGGTCGCGGCCTGGCTGGGACGGTGCTGAAGCCCATGTCCAAAGTCACGGAGGCCATCAGCGACGTGGGCTCAGGCGACGGGCAGGGGATCGGATCGGGGGAAATCCGAAGGAAACATGGAGGTTTCACTTAAAGAAAAGGATGATATGGGTGATCTGATGAAGAACGGTGGTACTTGTCATGGGTTTAATCATGTTTAATCATGATCAAGATAAAACTGGGAAAAAAAGATGGAAAAAGAAGAAGAAATGATGGGTCAACGAAGTGGATGGTAGGTGCATGAACCAAGTAAGATGAGGATTTAGCCGATGAACATGTCTATTGATAAAGCTGGGTCAACCAACTGGATGGAGAGTTTCGTATTCTAAGGGCATATATATGGGGGAATCCATAAATGGGGGTATCCCCAAATGGATGGTTTATAATGGAAAATCAATC